GTCTGTGGGTTTGTCTCCCACCGACTCAGCCACTCTCGAGGGCTTTTGAGCAAGGAGAAGTAACTAAACTGTATTAATGACGCGACAACTGCTGATGGAGACAAGTCAATTCTTGTCGAGCAAGATGCAGGTGCTCTGGAGACTTGAAGCCACCTCGTCCTAATTTTGGCAGATTTAACAAGGCTTTGACCATAAGGGAATCTTTTTGGGGAGCCCCAAGATCCATGGGGGTCTGTGTGTTTCCAGGCACTGGGACTGGACCAGGACAACGAGAAGGGCTTGTACCGGAGGGGCGAAGCCAGGTTATTGATGAACGAGTTTGAGCTGGCAAAATGTGACTTTCAAAAAGTGCTGGAAGTGAATCCGCAGAACAAAGCAGCGAAATCCCAGATCTCCGTTTGCCAGAAAAAAACAAAGGAGCACAACGAGCGGGACCGGAGGATCTACGCCAACATGTTCACAAAGTTTGCAGAGAGGGATGCAAAGGTGCGTGTTGCCCGTTTTTGCCCATCCAGCAGGTCCCGCTGAAGGATGCTCGAGAGGGTTTGTGATGAGAAGAGATGGGTTAAAACCAAGTAAATTATAAATGAGGTTCAGGATGGAGAGAGAGAGGATGCTGCAGTGGGAAGAAGCGGTGTATTTCTTGGTCTCTGTGCTGCCATCGTGCTCAGTCATCAATAAAAGTATCTGCAGTGCGAGCTCCCCAGGGCTGATGACAGGGTTGGCGTTTGTGCTTAATTTTGCTTTTCCCAGCTAGTGACCGTTGATGACCTCCTGGTCACTGGTAAAATGAAATGTCATCCTGTCTCTGGCAAGGCCAAGGGTATTTTGAGACATGATGGTATGGATTTCCTGAAGCTGGTAAGGCAATACCTGCTCCCCTGCTCGTACGGAGCGATTGCTGTGTGGTCACAAGGCTCTCATCCAAAATTCCTCTCAACAAAACCCGGTGTTCTGTAACGAGAGAGGACACGGCTTTGCAAGTTGTCCGTGCGGGTCATTTTTAGCATAATCTTCTGAACCAGTGCCTGGGGTTGAGGCTGTGGAAGAAGTGAGTGGGCCCTGGGGTACAGCGTGCTGGGGTCACCGGCTCGGGGCAGGGAGCAGAGCCGTCCCAGCCGGCTGCTGGCACTGTTGGCTCATGCAGGTGGCCGTGATGGGGACAGTCACTGCTGGAGCAGATGTGAAGGCTCTGCCGAGCCATAGTGCTCCTCTCCTGCACCCACGGCCAGGTGTATGGCTGCACCCGTGGCTCAGTCCCGTATCTCTGCTCAGATGCTGCTGCCTTAGAGAATCATAGAATCCTCTGGGTTGGAAGGGATGTTTCAGATCAATAAGTCCAACCATCAGCCCAACACTGCCCAAACCACCACTAACCCATGTCTCTCAGCACCATGTCTGCCCAGCTTTTAGATACCTCCAGGGATGGTGACTCCACCACATCCCTGGGCAGCCTCTTCCAAGGCTTGACAACCCTTTCTGTGAAGAAATTTTTCCCAGTATCCATCCTAAATGTCCCCTGGTGCAATTTGAGGCTGTTTCCTCTTGTCTCATTGCCTGTTACTCAGGAGAAGAGACCGACCCCCCCCCCGGCTACACCCTCCTTTCAGGGAGTCACAGAGAGCAAGGTCTCCACTCAGCCTCCTTTTCTCCAGGCTGAACATCCCCAGCTTTCTCATCTGCCCCTCATAAGTTCTCCAGACCTTTCTCCTTGTGCTCCAAGCCCCCTCCAACCTGCCCTTGAGCCCCTCCAGGGATGGGGCAGCCACAGCTTCTCTGGCCAACCTGGGCCAGGCTCTCACCACCCTCACACCAAACAAGTTCTTCCCCACATCTCAGCTCCATCTCCCCTCTTTCAGGGTCAAACCCTTCCCCTTCATCCTATAGCTCCCCTCCCTGGTATCTACACTCCCTTTCCAACTCCGATTGCTTTATTTTCTATTTTCTAGGAAGCAGCTAGCAAAACCGGTGTCGAAAAAGCAGCGGAGAAAGCAGCTTGTGAAAAGGGACCCAAAACTCCCAGTGCTGAAGACAAAGAGGGTGAAGGACACGTATGATGGAGGAGGAGGAAGGGAAGGGAGAACCTCCTGCCCTTGGCCCGCTCAGAAAAAGGTTGCTGCCAGACCTCGGGACTCGCCAGTGTTTTCTTGTAAAGCTTGTTACAGTTCGTGTGATTGTGGAAGCAAAAAAAAAAAGCGCCTCGCCAAGAAAAAGAACCGTGTCCCACCACCCTGGGTGCGCTCGGGGGCAGAGCGGGAGCAGCGGGACGCTGTGGGACCACCGCACGTGGAACAAATAGCTTTTAAACGGAGAAAAAGAGAGAGAGAGAAAGGAAAAAAAAAATAAATAAAAATTGAAACTCTTGGCTCTTGGGAGGTTTCCGTAGACAGCTCGTCCCGGCTCCCTCGGCTTCGTGGCGGCTGCCGGCGCAGCATCCCGGCTCCTCCGAGATGAGGTGGGATGTGGGAGATGCTTCTTGGTGGCTGCGGTGCTGCCTCCCGTTGTGTCCGGCACACGACGGCGCTGGGGCCAGCCCCGGGAGCCTCCGCCAGCCCCCGACACAGAGGGGACCGCCACCGGTGGGCTGCTGGAGCCCCCAGGGCCAGCTAACGGGGACCCAGCACCGCACAACACCCCGTGCTGGGTCACCCATGGGTGCTCACTGGCTTTGGGTGGGGGGGAATTGGTTTTCTCTCCTGGTGGCTTCTTGCTGAGGCGGGGTGAGGACCCACATCAGCTCCGCTGCAGCCCCCTCAGTGTAGGGATATAATTTGCCTTTAAAGCTTTTTTTTTTGGTGGTGGGGGGGGAGAATTTTATCTTTTGAAGAGCTGGTTTCTGTTTCCTCGGAGGGCAAAAGCCTCCTGTCCAGCTCAGCTGCTCGCAGGCGCTCAGTGGGGAGCCTGCACCCCATCCCTCTGCTTCCATCTTTAAATGGAAGTTTTATTGCTTATTTGAGGTTCACATGGGGGGGGGGAAGGGACAAAAAAAAATTGAGCAGGTTGGCATATTGCAGTTCAGAAAGTGAGTGGCTGGGTCTGAGTTGGTACCGTGGGTTTACAGCTCATCACTGGGCAGTTTTCCTGTGGCACTTGCTGCCGTGGGGAGGGGGGGGACCCCAGTGGGCCTGGGGGGCATCGTGTCCCCCCCACTGGTGCTGCTGCCACCTCAGGCATTGTCCCCCTCCATCCTAAAGGGAGGCTGTCACTACCGTGTGAGAACAGCTTTCTGGTTGTTATTTTTCCTGTCTGGTCTTTGTAATACCCCTTTTTTGGGGCTTGAAAATAAACAACTGAAAGAAAGAAAGAAAAAAAAAGAAAAAGTGCTTTTTCTCTGGATCCTGCTCAGCAAAGGGGGTGGCTGTGGGGAGGATGTGTCTGATCTCCTCTGGGTGGAGATGCCCCCGCTCCAGCAAGGGGTTCGTTAAGGAATTATTGGTGTCCCCAAGGACCAACGCTGCCCCTATTTATCAGCATCTTTGTTCCCTGGAGAGCTGGGGAAGGGCTGTGCTTTGGAGATGCCTGGGCTGAGGGGTGCTACTTGGGGCTCTCAGGTGATTTTCCAGCCCGGGAGGGGTTATCCTGATGCTCTTTTTTATTATTTTGGGGGTGTCCTTGGGAGGGGGGGCACCTGGGTGGGTGGAGGAGGCATTTATGCCCCTTGGCTGAGGGTGCAGAGGGAGCAGAGCCATTGGGGACAGCGGGTCTGCTTGTCCCTCTCTTACCCCCACCACTGCAGTCTTGGGAGGATAAACCAGATTTGGTTAAAATTCCTCCTCTCTAGTCCATCAGGTGGTACCCAAAGCATCATTTCTCAAGCTGCTCCATCTGTTCATCCAGGTCTCTGGTTTTAAACCACCCCTGGGGTGTCTTGTTGCCGGCAAAGCATCCCGGTGGGTGCTGCGAGACCCAGGGGCTCTGCAAAGAATTGGCTTTTCCTTTCGTACAGGCAGGTGGAAAAAAAATAAGTCATTTGGGGGCAGCCCAAGCCACTAAAAAAAAAAAAAAAAAAAACAACAAGAAACCAACTTGTTTTGCAGTTTCTGGGCTTTCCCCCTATTTTTAAGTAGATTTTTTGGTTTATTTCGGTGTGGTGCTTTTCTTCCCCTTTGAAGAGAAATTAAACTCGGGCAGGTGATGAGCTGTGGTTCAGAAATTAAGGGGGAAACTGGGAGGATTTGGCAGTGAAGGGGGGTTTGGGGTGTCTTGCCCAATGGTGGGCTGGGCAAGGCCGAGAGTCCGGTGGGGGTCATTGGGGCAACTGGGCTAGTCTGGCTTTGCAACTGGAGAGCATCTGCAGGCAGCCTTCGGAGGGGAATATGAAAAGCTAAATATTAATTGCTGTTAATAAGGAGGTGAGGGGGGAGCAGAGTGTGAAACCCATCACCCAAAGGGACATATGGACACGGGACCAGGGTTGGAGCAGAGCGGTGATCCATAGGGAAGCCCTTAGGATCGCCCGGAGCCGGGAACGCTGCCATCCCCCACATGGGCTCCCCAGGCAAACCAGCCCAAATCATGCTTTTCTGTCACCAAGATGATATTTTTTTGGGGTGGAAAAAGGCACATCCAGGGAGGGTAACCCTGGATGAAGTCAGGCAGTGTCCCTCTGCCCACCCTAGGCTGGAGCGAGCGGTCCTGCCGTGCCAGGGACCCCAGCCAGGGTGGGGGGAGCCACACACCCCCAAAAGGCACCTGGTGCCCCATTATTCCCCGGTGCCCCTCCTGTGCTCTTAAAGGCCCCCTTTTTCCTGGGATTACTGCCCTGCCAGCTGCTCTCCCAGCGGGCCTGGCCAGCAGCCCCTGAAATCCTATTACCGAGTTTCAAGAGAAATAAAAAGTTAATCATCTCCTTCACCAGCTCTTCCTCCTCCTCACACCGCCGGGGTGCGTGGAGGTGGCCGAGGCAATGGTGCTCAGCCCCTTGGACCATTCCCACCACACCTGAGCCCATGGATCCATCCCTGGGCTGGTAGGGGGGGTGGGACTGAGGCACCGGGGAGGAGAGGAGGAGGTTGGGCAGGGAGGAAGGAGCCATCCCGCTGGAGTGGGAGCCATGCCGCTGCAGACGGAGATCCTGCGGGAGGTCTGGGCTGCCGAGAGGTGAGTGCCGGGGGGCAGGATGTGACCCGCGGGGTGGGCGATGTGCTGGGCACCCCCACCCGGCTCCCACCTCCTCTAGTACCTTTTTCTCCTCTTTTCAGTGTAAATGCAATTTAATGAGTTGTTTTATCAGTTTTTTGGGGGGGTTGGTGTGATGATGGTCATTGGTTTACAGAGAGGAAATGGGTTTATTAGATGCAGGGGGCTGTCCCCAAATTAAACACAGCCAGGACGTGGCAGAGCCCGTCCTGGAACTCCCTGTTTGGGGTGATGCTGTTGGCCCAGCTCAAACCAGTTGAGACACTGGGAGCTGCTTCTGGAGCCAAACAAAGGGCTGACCTCACCCCCCAGCCCCCAAAATTGGGGTGGTGCTCAGCCAGAGGGTCTTGGCACCCCAGAAGCTGCAGGGGGGGGGGTGGAAGCCCTGACCCCTTTGCTTTCTGTGCCCCACAGCCCCAGCGAGGAGCCAGGCAGCCCCCCACCACACAAACCCAAGCAGGTGAGAAAAAATCCTTTGCCCTTCCATCCCCGGTGCCACCGTCCCCTCCTGCAGGCTGTCCCCAAGGGCTGGGGACATTGGAGACCCCCAAAGCCTCACCCCACAGCGAGACCAGCTTGGGGCTGGGTGGGCTGCTCTGTGGGGGTGCTGCAGCCCCAGGGGAGCATGAGCTTTTGGGGATCCCCCCTCCAGAATGGGTAAGTAGAGGAAAAATCCTACAGCCCCCCTGCCCCTTCCAGCCCCCCCCCCCCGCCCTCGTCGCTTCATATTACCCCATAAGGTGGGCTCTCAGTTCCTAATTAATGCTTTAATTAAGCCTCTCAGTTAAGCCGTCAGCCGTGACTCACTTTCCCCAGGCTGTGACCCCAAAAGCCGGACACCCCACCCCCACCTTGGCTGGGTTTGGGCACAGGCCTCGGGTACCACCCAGCCTCCCAGGGGTCTCACCACCGATTTCATCAAGCACCTGATTCAATCAGCAGCCCCTCCTCTTCGTTAGAGCTTCGTTAAGTAACAAAGCAAGTGACTGTCCTCCCCCCAGCTGCTTAAGGGATTAAAGGATGCGAAGGAGCTTTTCAGTGTGAGCTGATGACATGGAAGAAACCAGTCAGTTCCCAGCTCCACCGTGGGACCCCTTCCTTCCCTCCAACCCCTCCACCAAATCTGCAGCACTGGGATCCACCTGGATCCCCTCCTCTTGCAAAGCACTGTCACCCATCGCTGGAACATCCCAGAGGGATGAAACTCCTGCGAGGGGGAAGGTGCTTTGTTGGGTGACGGGTGCCCTGGTGCAACAGGATTTACTTAAATCACTTTCTGAGGACCCTGAGCTGACACCCACTCCCCAAATAGCTCCTGTCCGGGGCCAAGTGCTGCCCCACATGCTCCATATTTGGTAAATCGGGGCTATTTATAGCCCCAGCTAACAGGGATTAGGTGTGTTGTGCCTAATCCCCCTCCTTCCCCTCTCCTGCTGACCTCCATTCTGGCATGGCCCCACGGCTCATTGACTTCAGCGGGAGCCTTCTGCGTGGGCGAGAGGAGATGGAGGTGTGGGGCCACGCTGCCTGCCTGTCCCTGTGTCCCCTGGCCCAGCTTCAAGTCCCCCAGCATGCCCACGAAGAGATGAGTTGGTGCCCGGGGTGGCTCCTGGCTGAGGTCCCTGTGGTGCAGGGTGACTTGTCCCTCCATGCTGACGTGGGCCATGGTGTCCCAGTGGTGGCAGCATCATGTCCCTTACCCCAGGGCTGGTATGTGGCTGTCTGTCCTAGTGCTGATGCTCTTCTGTCCATCCGCTAACTGCCTTTTCTGTTTTCCTCCCTCTGCCTTCTGTGGGGGGCTGTCCCATGGTAAGTCACAGATAATGGCTCATTTGAAGGTGTGAGTGTGTCCCCATCCCCACAGCGGGTCCCTGCTCCCACTCGGAGCCAGGGAAAAGCCCAGCTGTATTTTGGAGAGGGAGCTGGTGCTGTAGGAGCAAGGGTTGTCTTGGAAAAGGAAGAGGGATTTAGGGCCGGCATCGTCCCTGCAGCTCTGTCCCTGGGGGCAGAAGGTGAAGAAGAAGAGGCAGGAGCCCACGCTGGAGCCTGAGGCCAAGCCCCGGCGGCTGCGGGCGAAGAAGCTGGGTGAGGCGGGGGCTACAGAGGAGCCCCGTGCCCCAGCACAGGGTAAGGACAGACCCCCCCCCCCCCCCCGTGGCTCCCGTGGAAGTGGGGGACACTCTGGTCCCTCCCACAGCCCCATTCTGCACCCAGAGTGCTCTCCATTGTGGGCATTGCTTGAAACACATAGGGGTGAAGAAGCTGAGGAAGAAGAAGGAAGAGAAGGGGGAGGAGGAGAGCGACAAGGACCCCTACTCCAAATTCACCAAGGAGCCTCGGAAGAAGAAGGAGAGCCCGGCCCCCGGCTCCCGCACCGCCAAGGGCCCCAAGAAGCAGCAAGGTGGGGAGGCAGCACCCACCCCTCTGGGGGCACCCACTCGTGGCACCTTGTGTCCCCATGGACCATGTCCCACCAGTGCCATCGATGCTCCTGGTGTCTGCGGGGGCTCTGCATGTCCCTGGGGGGGCTTTTTGGCCAAAATCCTGCTACACACCTGGGAGGAAAGGGGAGTTGGGATTGGGGGGTGGACAACACAGTCCCCGGGAAAGTGACAGTTGGTGGCCGGTGCCACCGACTCCCTGGACATCTTGCCGGGCCAAAAGTATGGGGTGAGCAAAGATATGGGGCTGGTCCCCCCCTCTCACCCCTCCAACTCTGCACCCCGGGGCTGCAGCCGCGAGATGGCGCTGTGACTTCACACGCCGTGTCCACTGGCCATGTCACCCCTGCTGCTGGCCACCGCCGCTGGCCCCGGGCACCCACGGCCCCGGCACCCTGGCCATGGTGGGGTGGGTGCCCACGCTGGCCGGGGGAGATCCCCCCCATGCCCGCAAACCACGGGACTGCCACGAGGCCATCGTGCTGCTGATGCCATGGTGTCCCCCTGTGGGCAGAGCTGGCCAAGGACTCAGAGGATGAGGAGGAGGAAGAGGAGGTGGAAAATAAAGACCCACCAAAAAAGCTCAAGAAGAAGGTGCCCAAAGAGCCCCCCTCGGGTGAGAGCCGGGAGAAGAAGCAGAAGCCAAAGGGTGAGTGCCCAGGGGACGGGGACAACTCGAGCCCAGCTCCATTGCGACCTGCATCCGGGGGATGAGGGGACCACAAGCATCCCGTCCCTGTCACTGTCCTGGGGGGCTCGAGGGACTCTGGGGCAATTGCCCCCTCCCCATGCAGTCTCCTCCCAGCTCACCCCTTCCTGCTGCCCCCACCTTGCCACCTCCCTGTCCCCTGTCATTGCCTGTCCCTGTCCCTCTGTCTGGCCACTCATCGGCTCCTTCACCCTGCCAGGAGACAAGAGTGACACCGATGGCAAAGCCAAATCTGCCAAAAGCACCAAGAAGGAGTCAATGTCCATGTTCCAGGTGAATGGGGAGAAGAAGGAGAAGAAAACCAAGAAGAAGGGTATGGGGGCAAGCTGGGGGGCGGGGGGCGGCAGACAGTCCCACAGCATCACCCCAAGCCAGCAATACCTGGTGCCTCATGACAGTGTCCTCTGTGTCCCCCCACCAGCTGCCACCAGCAGTGAGGAGGAGGATGATTCCGATGCCAGCACCAAACCCATCAGGTCGGAGAAGAAGAAAAACCCGGCGTCCCTCTTCCAGACTGGTGGAGACCCCCCCAAGGAGAAGAAAGCCAAAAAGAAAGGTGAGAGCCCAGCACCAGCGATGTGATGGAGGGTAGTGGGTGCCAGAGGGGCTTGTGGGGTGAGCACCCCATGGAGAGTGGAGCTATGGTTGATGGTGTTTCTGGGGGGCTCTGCTGAGCTCAGTTTGGGGGTTTGGCAGAGTCAGGGTCTTCCCCCCACTGTACCCCTGCCCATTCCTGCCCACAGCTCCTCCCAAAGCGGCCGAGAGCGAGGAGGAGGCCCCAGAGACCCCCCAGAAAAACTCCAACAAGAAGGGCAAAGGGAAGAAATCAAAGAAGGTATGAACCCCTTCCTCGGAGCTGCAGGATTCCCCTTGGGGACCCAGAGTGGGTTGGGGGGCTGGAGGAGGCACTGTCCCCCTCCCCTGGGGAGTCACTGTCCCCAAAGCCACCAGCTGCAGAGCTGCAGCCCCCCAGCTGGGGCTCAGAAGCAAGGTGGGAAAGAAAGAGGGGGGGCTTTGGGTGCATTCGGATCTGGGGTCATCATACCCTCTCGTGTTGCAGTCGAAGGAGGAGAGGCCCCCGTCACCCGTCATCGAGGTGGACAACCTGGAGGAGTTTGTGTTGCGACCGGCGCCGCAGGGAGTGACCATCAAGTGCCGGGTGACACGGGACAAGAAAGGGATGGACCGGGGGCTTTATCCCACCTATTACCTCCACTTGGATAATGACAAGAAGGTGAGCTGGGGTGGGGGCTCTGCAACCACCCCAGGGAACACCCTCAGGGTTTTGGGGGCATGTCCACCTGCATCCCGCTGTGGTGGTGGGTTCTGGATGGGGCTGTTCCCCTCCTCTGCAATTCCTCTTGAGAAGTGCCCCACGGCGCTGGTACCTGGGATGAGGCCAAACGCCTTCTGGAGAGTCACGCTGGGCTCAGATCCTCCCACCCACCGGCTGAGCCGGTGTTTTGGGGATCATCTTCACTCCATGACTTGTGCAAGGTTCTGGCAGTGACCTCTTGGGCCGAGCCTTGTGCAGGGGGGCCAGCAGGGTGGCAAACTGGGGACAGTGGTGATGATGACAATGATCATGCCCTGTCCCAACACGCTCCCACCACCCTCCCAGGTGTTCCTCCTCGCTGGGAGGAAGCGCAAGAAGAGCAAAACCTCCAACTACCTCATCTCCATCGACCCCACTGACCTGTCGCGGGGGGGAGAAAACTTCATCGGGAAGCTGAGGTAGGAGGAGGAGGTGGCACCCCCGTTTCAGTGGAACCCTGTTTCGGTGGCACCCCCATTCCTGCAGCGCCCCGCTCCCACTCTGTGGGCTGCCGACCGCTCTGAGCGATGGCTGGGTCAGGCAGGAGACTAAATTCGGTGTTCGGAGGAGCGTTTGGGGGGCCTGGGAGGGGAAAACAGGCTCGTCTGGTTCCTCCCAGCAGACAGGTCACGGCTAGAAACGGCACCCGGCAAGTCCCGGCCCGCTGCTCTGCCGGCAGCCGCACAGCGACGCTGGGGGGTCCCCGCCAGGGCAGCACCATGGAACACCCCCATTTAGGGGCGCTCTGAACCCCAGCGAAGGGCTAAAGGGTGGGAAGGATGGTGTTAGCCGTGGGTTTATGAAGCCAGAGCAAAGCCAGGGCTGCGTCTGGAGTGGGGGGTTACGGGGCGGGGGGGTCGGAGGGAACTCGGTGGCACCAGCTGTGGCCACCTCCCGTCCTTGGCTGCAGGTCCAACCTGATGGGAACCAAGTTCACGGTGTTCGACAATGGCGCCAACCCTGACAGAGCCAACGCCAACTGGTCCAACGTGCGGCAGGAGCTCTCAGCTGTGGTCTATGTAAGGACCAGCATGGGCACCCCCCTGGTGGGACCCCCAGACAGGCAACAAGGGGGTTCCAACCCTGGCCACCACCCCGGGGGTGTTGCAGAGATGTGGGATGGGCTGGATGCGTCCCTGAGACATCCATCAGCTGCCAGCGAGAGGCTGCAGTCCACGGTGGTCGCTGGTTTTATGGATGGGGTTTCTCTTGCAGGAGACCAATGTTTTAGGGTTCAAAGGCCCCCGGAAGATGACGGTCATCATCCCTGGGATGAACTCTGACAATGAGAGGGTGCCCATCCGGCCCCGGAATGTAAGTGGGAGAGAAACTCCTTGGGGGCTGGATTTGATGGGGTTCACCTTGGATTTTACCTGTTTTGGGGCACAGAGAGAGTTTTGGGTGTCCCTGGAATTCAAGGCACCTCACTGGGAGGTGGGAGACGCGATGTCTGTATTTTTTCTCTGTGCTGGATCCCATCTCCCATCTGGATCCTGCTACAGAGCGTCCCCCTGGTCCACGCCATGGGGTGTGGCAGAGCTTGGAGGGGGCATGGGGGGGTGTCACCCCAACTCCTCCCTCCCCGCTTCTCGCCCTCCCCAGGACAACGACGGCCTCCTGATGCGATGGCAGAACAAAAACATGGACAACGTGATCGAGCTGCACAACAAGGCACCAGTGTGGAACGATGAGACCCAGTCCTATGTCCTCAACTTCCACGGTCGGGTCACCCACGCCTCCGTCAAAAACTTCCAGATTGTCCACGGCAGCGACCGTGAGCCTGGGGCTGGGGGAACATGGGACAGGGCGGGCGTGACAGCAGGGGACACTGCCATCAGCTGGCTCCAGCACCCCTATTATTCACTTTTTTTGCTGAGATTTATTTTTTTCCACACGTGGCTGCTTTGGGGTCCTTCCTGCCTTGGGGGCAGTCGGGATGAAGGGCGTGCTGGCCCCGGGTGACGGCAGAGGGAGTGTGCGGGTCACCCTGTTGCCGGGCAGATTAGGGCAAGGACAAATCCTGTGGGGTGCTGAGCACCACCCCCCCCATCATCACACTGCAGCCACCCCCTCATCCCAGAGCATCCCCCCGGCATTGCCAGCGGGCTCACCCCGGGGTGCGTCGCGCCTCGGGGGACAGTCCCTCAGGGGGTGGTAGCGGCTCTGTCCTCCCGCGAGCGGCCGGACGTGGCCGTTTGTCACCTGTCCGGTGCAGTCAGAAGCCCTCGGCCTCCAGGGTGTTGGGTTACGGGACAGAAAAAACCTCTCAGGGGCCCCCGGTTATTTTTACAAAATTTCCTGTCACCCGCCCTCCGGTAGCAGCAGTCCCACGGGGGTGGGGGGGTGGGTGAGTGGGGTCCCTGTCCCTTTGTGGGGGCTGCGGCTCCCAGGGAAGGGGTGCTGGGGGGGACCGAAGGGTGCTGTGCTCCCACGCAATGGGAAAATGATGCTTTTTGGTAACGTGCGTTGTGGTACGGGGCAGGAGCTGTGGGCAGAGCTTGGTGGAGGAAGGGGGGGTGGCTTCTTTGGGATGTTGGGGTCCCATGGGAAAAGGGTGGGTGGCACCCCAGCCCCTGGCTCTCTCTGTCACAGCCGACTACATCGTGATGCAGTTCGGGCGCGTGGCCGACGACGCCTTCACCATGGACTACAACTACCCGCTCTGCGCCGTCCAGGCCTTCGCCATCGCCCTCTCCAGCTTTGACGGCAAGCTGGCCTGCGAGTAGCACCCGCGCCGGGGCCACCGGGGCCACCAGGGCTGTGTGCCGGTGCTGGATGGATGCTCCTGCATCCCCGTCCCGCTCCGTTCCCTCCGTTTCCACCTTCTGCCCGGTGAATTCTCATGGTGACAGCCGCCCCCCGGGGTGGCTCAAGGCGCACGGTGCCCCCAGCCCCCCGTGGGACACTCATCTGGCCACTGCCACCCTCTCCGGGCAAATTAGGGACAGATCACTGGTGTGGGGCAGATGGCAGAGTCAGACCTGGCGTATATTTAGCAGATGAGGCTGACTGCGATCCCAATCTCATCCCTTTGAGACATTTCTTGGACTCGGATCCTGGAAACTCATCCCCCCCCCTTTTTTTTTTTTAAGCTCTGGTTTGTATTTTGTAGCTCAGTCTCCCAGTTAGAGGGGGGGTTGGTGGTCTCTTCAGCGTGTGTTTCCTCACAGAACGTGGCTGGGCTCTGCCCAAGCTCCTGGTGAGGGACACCCTCCCCCCCCCCAGCTCAATGCCCACCAGACACTGAACCCCATTTTGCCCCATTTTGCTGTGGTGCAAGTGGCCGTGTGGTGCTCATGGTGTCTTTGCACGCCCCAGGTTCTCCACCCACTTGGAAGCCTTTGGGTGATTTGGGTCCCTGGGGAGCAGCCTGGCACCCAGAGCGCTGGCAGCACGTGGGCACGTGCCGATGGAAGCTGGAGGGAGGGCTGGTAGCCACGTGAGGCAGAGCCGGCGTCACCGGCATGGGGCCGGGCTGGGTCGGTGCCACCAGGAGGGACCTGGAAGGGAAAACTCTGGGTGCACCAGGAAGCACCGGGGTGACTCACGAGGTGTGGTGTGGTGCTGAGTCACGCTCGGTGCCCGGATGGGTACTGCCGATGGGCACCCCATGCCCCTGGCACCCTGCGGCATCCCTCCGGACCCCCCTGGGCTGGTGGTCCCACGGAGCCCCCGCACGCTCCAGGTGTCCCCGCTGCCGGGACTGGCCCCTCTGGTGCTCCCTGCTCACGGGGAGGTGACATCCCATGGCACAGGCCTGTGGGATGTTATGGGGGGGCTGTGTGGGGTCATTGTGAAGGGGAGATAGTGGAAAGGGGCAGCTCGGGGGGAGCAGAGCAGCCCATGCCCCCCATTTCCAGGATTTGGCTGCACAGTCCCAAATCTGATTAATTCAGTGGTGAGAAACACTGGGACATGCCAAGGTGCCCCCAAACACCATCCTCAACTCCCCAGTAATGCTTCTCTCACCTGCTCAGCTCATGCGCTGATCCCAGGGGGGCTGATATGATCTGGGGGACCCTTTCCAGGACATAAGCAGGTCTTTCCCCCATCCTGGGGGTGACCTGAGCCCCCCAAGTTAACGCTGTGAGAGGCAGCTGGAGTGGGAAGGTCGAGGAGCAGGAGAGGGAGGAGACATGCAGTCATACAAGAGGGATGCTTGTCTTCACCAGGCAGTGTCACAACACTGCCGTGACCTGAGCCGGTCCCTATGCGTGTCTAGGGACGGGTGACAGTGACAGTAGGACCCTGGGCTGCAGCTGGACCTGGCCAACATCCGCCACGGTGGCTTTTCCCGATGAAACCAAGGTTTTCCCAGCAGCCACACGAATCCAGGCTCCGTGATTCATCGGCAGACGTTGGTGGTGGGGGCAGAGGGAGGCGGACAGCTCGGGGACAACGTGGGACATTGTCCCTTACCCAGGCGGCGAGATCAGAGACCTTCTCGTGAGCTGAAGGGAGAACCAGCCGCCGTGGTTCGGGGCCAGCATCCCATGGCTAGGTATGGCCAGCAAATGTGGGGGAAGCAAGAGCTTTCTGCCCAAATCCAGCCAGGAACCCACCATCTGTTTGAAATCGGGAGAAGCTCAGCGAAGGGTTGAGCAAACCCTTGTCCCCATTTCCTTCGGTGGAAGCAGAAAAGCCAAAGCAGGGTGAAAGGGAGGGGCTTGGGCTCCCCAACCTCTCTCTGGAGCACGAGCTGCCGTTATCCCAGCTGTTCCCTGGGGAGTTTCTCCTTCCCCGCACCCAAAAAGTCTCCATGTTGCCCCTGGTGGCTTCCAAACCCCTTGGGATTCCCAGCCTGCGGCCCAAGGGGAGTGAAAAAACACCCCGCCATGGGTGTCCAAGGCGATGCCACCCCATCCCAGGACACGGTGACCGTCTCAGCCTCCCACCCCAAAGCGCTTCCACAAACCCGCTAAACCAAACCAACTGCAGCACAAGAAACAAATGAAAACAATTTACGAGGGCGATGGAGATGCGGGGCCTTTGTTTGCGCTGGCTGTTAACACCAGCGGAGAGGAGGAATGGAAGCAGTTGAAATGTGTATCTACTTTGGCCGACGGAAAGTGTGACGGATGCGCCGGCGGACCAATGGCTGAGGGTGCTGGGGTGTGCGTGGGTGTGAAAGGAATGCTCGCTGCAAGAAAAGATCAAAAAAAAAAAAAAAAAAAAAAAAGAAAAAAAAAAAAAAAGGAAAGGG